GGGAACAGCTTCTTTTACAAAAATGAAAGTGTACCCATTCACCCATTCAGATAACTGGTCTTCTGAGTTCTCTGGGAAAACAATCAACTTGAACTAAAATAGGATTTTGCAGCTTTTGCTTTGATCTGAAAAAAAAACCAACGAAAAAGCAGCCTGTGCTGTGAACATTGTCAGGCTTTCCAGTCGGATTAATTGAGTAATGTCTACTTATATTGGAATTTGAACAAGTTTCTTTTCTAAAGCCAGGATTTTCAAAAACTAGGGCCTGCATTTAAGATAGTAATGTGATAATTTGATTCCTGACCACATGATCTCATTTTCAAAGTCTTGAATACAAAGCCAAAAAAATTAGTGGCTTATGTTCATTGCGGAAAACAGAATCAAGAATGCAAAGAGATTAAAATCTGTTTTAGACTAGATACTTCAGTCTTTTTTATTCTTTAGATGAAGGAACCTGCAAGAGTAGATCCTTACAAGCCTAAGGTGGCTGCTAGAAGTGCAGTGCCAAAGTAGTCAACATGAATGGTACCCTTGCTTGGGTACTGAAGATGCCTTGAGATTGTGATGTCTTTATGTCAAAATAGCACATACGCATTTGTTAGCAAAAGGCTTAGTTAGTTCATTTCCAATTTGTGATGACATATTTCACTCTCTGAATACAGTTAATAGTAAATAGCAGATTTTAGGTCTGATCTGAGTTATGCAGTTCCTGAGAAGGAGGAAGAGCAGACAGGAAGGAGAACAGGTACATCACATCCACAGAACTCATAAAAAGTACTTCCTTCTGTGGGTTTCTGAAATTATTTTATTACAGATTGCTTTTGTGATATGTGACATTTCATATTATGATAAAATCCATACAAATTGTAATAGTTGTTTTGTACATTTTATCTATCAGAATTGCTTATGTAAAATGGTTTTGTGCTCTTCTAGGCATGTGTTGGCTTTTTCCTGTCTGGGAAATTTTTTACCATAAACATTGTGATTATGAATATGATGAGTTAAGAAAAATAGCTTCTAATAGTACAAGCACTGTGAAGGAAAACAGCAAAATACAGAATCTTTTCTTGCTCCTAACAAGCTAATGAGATTACCTTTGATATAAAGGAGGGACTTCTATTAACAGTGGTGGGCACCAGGTAACATACCATGTGTACCATTGTTGTACATTAATGCTCTTGGGTATGATCCTGCCTTGGCTAAAAATGGATTTTGGCAGAAAAGGTACAGTAGGTGAACATGACCCCATTTTCTCGTCTTATCCCACATATAAAACATTCACTGCTTACTGTGTCTACTTCTTAAGGATAAAAAGTAGCATAGGTAGTAACTTTAGAACTTTTGATTTTCTTACTCTTGATTGCTTTAATTCAGGACATATGATAATAAATACTGTAGAAGATATTGCTAATTTCAGATATACTGTAACTGTGAATAGATACATACTTTGCAAATGAAATGATAAACCAAATTAACCAAGAAGTTTACACCCTCATTTGGGGAGATAAGCTTATTGCATCTGACTCTTGTGAACTGTCCTATGGTAGTTGGCCAAACTCTTTGAGTTGACACCCTTACTTGGTCAAAGAAGCATTTGCATGTAGTCTAAATATATTCACTTTTGTTTCATCCAACTTCACAAGAACAGGATTAGATATTTATCTAGGTTTCCTCCTGAACCGGAATGTTAAAGTGTACCCTCAGTTACACTGCATTAGAAGCATCTGCTTTTTTTTCCCCCATCCTTCAGTAATAGGTATTTTAAAAAGTTTAGCCTTTGAGGCTTTTTTAAGGAGAAAATACATATCTGTATTCAGACAATATGAAACTTCTGGGTTCCTCAGACTCTTTGAATTTTCTCTCTTGCTCAGGCAATGCTAAATAAATTATTGTTACATGATGTGTAGTCTAATGTATAGTGTAATATAAGAGGAAGTCTTATTACAGGACCTTATGACTTGACACAGCCCCAGTGAGGTTTGATCCTATGTGTGATATGTTACTTCACAAGATGGACGAATATGTGGGCAGCTATGCCCCAGGACACACATGCACGAAGAGAGAAACTAACAACTTAGAGAAGGATTAGTGCATCTGTGACTGCATGTGCAGTGTACTCAGAGGCAATACTTGGAGATGAGGTGAAGACTGCTCTAGTACTATTCTTGCTCTTGACAGAGCAATCTCAGCAGAGGCTCTTCTTTGGAGCTTGAACTCTGCCAGGACAAAGAGTACACCCTGACTTGGTGCAGCAAGAATAATCCCTTCTCTTCAGGACTACATTACCACCTCAGTTATCATTTTCCAGTACTTTGGTCCAATAAGCCTCCACCAGTTGCATGATTTGTTAGATCAGTCTTACCTCCCATGGTACATATATTCTCTTAATTTCTATGATAATCTTAGAAGAGTAAATGAGCTACCTTCACTGCCACTTCTGTGGAACCTTACTTATGGCTGAGCAACGTACTGTCCAATAGGAAAAGGAAATTTATTCCTTGCCACTCTAACACATCATAGAGATTAATATTCTCTCCGACTTATATGGGACCTTTTCTAAGACTAACAAACTTAATGAGATGCTAAATGTAACTGACTTTAAACGAGGAACTTGCTTGAGTTTGCTTTTGAAATACTGACTTTCTTACCCTGGAAGGTCATTTGAATGTCTGCTATGAATTACTGAAATATGTATTGATTTCAGAGGCTTTTATTATTATCCCTATTCTATGCCTTCTACTTTGTCCTCTTTTCTATCAATAGGTAAATGACTATCCCTAGGTCTGGTATATAAATTAATAAATGAATAAAGTGCACATAGAGATCAACAAGACTACAAATATCAGGGAAGATAGATGCTTCAGTCAAAATAAACCTTTATTTAAAAAAAATCCCACACCCAAAAAATCCCCACACTCACCCCCCCCCCCCCAAGTAACAAAAGGATAAAGGTGAACTATCTGGGGAAAAATAAATGGCACAGGTAATTCTCCAGTGGGAGAATTTTTGACATCGCTGTGGGATGTCAGAAAGCCCTCCTCGCTTTGTCCATTTAGGAGACTGGACAAACACTGGTACGTGGGCAGGAGGGAGCAACGGTGCTGCTACAGGGAGATAGGCTGCATGACATAATAGAATTTAACAGTGGAAAATACCTGTGATTTTCTCTTGGAGCCTTATGGAGTCACAGATGACAAGTTGTCACAGTGGAAGGAGGTCATCGAGGTTACTAGAGAAATACCTTTTTAATCTCCCCTCTCTAGTGTGTGAGTGGCAGGTGGGAACATAGCTTGGAGCTGCTCGTTGCGAGAAACGCCATTTCCACCAACAGGTATTTCCTCTGTGGATGTACTGGGGTGTTCTCCTCCTCCTCCTCTCAAGCCCCCAGTACCCCAGGCTGCCTCCACACCTATGGAGGGGGTGAGGCTAAAGCACCCTGGGAGTCTCTGCAGGCCACCTAGTTGGCATGGGTCATAAAAATACAGCATGGTGTTTAAACCCTGATAACAGAATCACAGAATCAGTTTGGTTGGGAAAAACCTCTGAGATCATTGAGTCCAGCCTGTGACCAAACACCACCATAACCAAACACCACCACGCCAACTAGATCAGGGTACCAAGTGCCATGTCCAGTCTTTCTTAAACACCTCCAGGGATGGTGACTCCACCATGATCCTTCTTTGAGCCAGGTATTCAAGTTCTCGCTCTGACCCTGACTGGAAGCGCTCTTTATCTTTCTTGCTTCAGACCAGGTTGCCCCAGCAGAGAAAAGTCCAGTCATGTAATCTTAATGGCAACGAAAAACCGTATGGGGGATAAATTTCAAATCTGTTACAGACACTTTTCAAGGAAATCCCTTCTTCCCTGGTACCTCTGCTAACAACACTTAAAATTACTTCCCTGCTGCTAAAAGACCCCCAAGGAAATAAGCGGCTGGTTGTGTGTTAACTTCACCTCGGTGCAGCAGAGAGGGATGGTTTTAGTGCAAAATTAGAAACTGTGCTGGTAAGACAAAGCAAAAAGACAGGCTGGAAACATTCTGGCACAATGCCATCATCATATCTGTTACAGAAACACTGCAGATAGAATAAGGGAAGTGTAGAGGAAAACCAAGTCACAAGGCTGGCAGCTGTGAGCTGGTGTCTTCATGCCTCTCATAAATTGGGAACATTTTGTATTGTGCATTTCTTTGTTAGGTAAAATATATTTTTTATATTAGTGTGTGTTCTAATGAGAAGAGATGTCTGGTTCAATAATATTATCTTGTATTTATCTGTGGCAGTTAATGAATTAAAGGGGTCATTATGCTGGCTAGTTCATAAACATGATGATAAATTATGTGAAGAAGCGTTTGAGGACAACCTGAAAACATTTGAATGACATCCCCCACATTTATTTTCTTGTTACTTATGATATCCTTACCATTCACACATTTTATAGGGATAATACAAATAAACCAAAATTAGAATTCTGCTTTAGATGAGCAGACAATTTGCCTTTAATGAGGGTCAAAACTGGAAAAGCAATTAAATTACAATATGTTTTTAAAGGATCCCTCTTCCTATGTATATATATTGCAATTACTCTTAGCTTTACTATATGTTTGAAGTTTCATGTCTAGTCCCTTGCTTTCCACAGAAGAAAAAGCAAGGCAAATAATACATGTTTTCAACTGTATCTGCTGAACAAAATATGCAGTGCATATGTGTGTGTGTGTTTGTGTGTTTGGATATGTGCAATTTCAAATAAATAGAAGCATCATTATCATATTGTTCAAAGCAAAGCAGATTCTTCTCAGTCACCTACTGATTTAAACACTGTAACTGGTGCTTAGTTTATGCTGGCAGGCTGCCAAGTGAAAGCAATTTTGTGCAATAATAGCAAAATTAAGAGGTGAGTGTTGCTGTTTTACAGCAGGACATGGCAAAACCCATTTCCTTCTGTCAGCTCTATCTTGATTACACACACAGTCACACAGGCATGCTCTCTTACACACATACATGTGTGTGCACACGCTCTTGTTCTTTTTGTTTGCTGTCTTTCCTGTGGGTTTTAACTTGAGGTCACTGAAACCAGAAAAGAGGAAGAGTATATACCACAGTGTTTGAAAGCAAATGAGAGTAAATGTCTCACTTTGTGAGGAAGGAGAAAAAAATCAAACCAAACAAAAAAACCCCAAACAAACAAACAAAAAGCAAAACAAAAAGCCTACCCCGATTATTGTTCTAACTGTGATAATACTTTCTTTTACTCCCACTGGCAGGTGTCCTAGTGGTAAATGTTACATGGAGGAACAAGACTTACGTGGGAACACTGCTGGACTGCACAAAGCATGACTGGGCCCCTCCTAGGTAGGCAAACATTGTGATTCTGTTTTTTCTCTGCTGTATTTTAACCCTCAGTCTCGGCCAAGAGACTCTACAGGGATTAGTAAAACACAACTGATTATAATTGAAAACATGCACCAGTGAAACGAGTAGTTCCGGATTAAAATGTGGGGTGGAAATTCTTTTTTACTTTTCTTTTGTATTTTTGAGAAGGAAGGGGAATTACAGGAGACTCATCAGATGGCAATTACTTTAGAAATGCATTTATGTAAGTTTTGAAAAATTTTCACTCCATTGTTCTAATTAGTTGGATGTGTCCTTACCATTTTTGTCCTTTTTTTAATGACTTTCCCTTTAAGACTGTAACATTCTCATTTATCAGAAGGGCATCATTCCTTTAACATGTGTGAAGGTTCTGTTATGGGAAGGAGTGGTGTTTTTTATTTTTTTAGTTCATGATCCTGCTGATGAAATCTCTTGTTTGTACAGGTTTTGTGAATCACCAACAAGCGACCTGGAAATGCGAGGAGGACGGGGCAGGGGAAAGCGGGCAAGGTCCGCTGCAGCTGCCACTGTACCTGGTAATGATGCAAGTTTTACGGAGTCCAGAGGGCTTCAGAATAAGAATCGAGGTGGTGCCAATGGGAAAGGGAGGAGGGGCAGCCTTAACTCAAGTGGGCGCAGAACACCCCCCAACTGCGCCATGGATGAAGTAAAAGCAAGCCCCTCATCCACGAACAAGAGGAAAACTAAACCTCCTATGGAGCTAGATTTAAACTCCAGTTCGGAGGACAATAAATCCGGAAAACGTGTTCGTACTAACTCTAGAAGCACTCCCACCACCCCACAGGGGAAACCCGAGAGTAATTTTTTGGACCAAGGCTGCTCTTCTCCGGTGCTGATTGACTGTCCTCACCCCAACTGCAACAAAAAGTACAAGCACATTAATGGATTACGTTATCATCAGGCTCATGCACATTTAGACCCAGAAAACAAGCTGGAGTTTGAACCTGACAGTGAAGACAAAATTTCAGACTGTGAGGAAGCACTGAGTAATGTGGCACTTGAATGCAGTGAGCAAAGCACAAATTTGCCAGGCTTTGATCCACTAAAAGCACCAACATCTCCTTCCTCCATTGCTACCCCAGGGACTCCCAAGGGAAAGAGGGAACTGACCAGCAATGGCCCTGGTTCAATTATCAGTTCCAAAACTGGAAAGAATTCTGGCAAAAAGAAGGGTCTGAACAGTGAACTGAACAGCCTTCCAGTAATTTCTAATATGGCAGCCACACTGGATAATTGCTCAGTAGCAGATGGCAATTTGCAAACTGAAATGCCGAAATTGGAGGCTGAAGGCTTAATTGACAAGAAGAGTTTGGGTGATAAAGGCAAGAAATCGAACAATTGCAAAGTGGATAAAAACCTTTCCAAACTGAAAACAGCCAGGCCCATTGCCCCAGCGCCAGCACCAACTCCTCCCCAATTAATAGCTATACCTACTACAGCCTTTACAACCACCACTACAGGGACAATACCGGGACTGCCCTCTCTAACAACTACTATTGTTCAGGCTACACCAAAGAGCCCTCCACTGAAACCTATTCAACCAAAGCCCACAATTATGGGAGAGCCAAGCACTGTAAACCCAGCTCTCACATCACTCAAAGACAAAAAGAAAAAGGAGAAGAGAAAGCTGAAGGACAAAGAAAGCAAGGAGACGGGCAGCCCCAAGATGGATTCTAAGCTGGGAAAGCTGGAGGATTCAAAAGGGTCTGGGAAGGACTTATCTGGACATTTTTTAAAGGACCATCTCAACAAGAATGAAGTGCTAGCTAATGGACTGTCAGAGTCTCAAGAGAGCAGGATGGCAAGTATTAAGGCTGAAGCTGATAAAGTTTACACGTTCACAGACAATGCGCCCAGCCCTTCCATAGGGAGTGCCTCCAGGATGGAATGCAGCACTTTGGTGAATGGACAATCTGCCATGGCACCACTGCATGTGTTGACACAAAATGGCACAGATAGCACGGCTGCCAAAACCAACAGCCCTGCTTACTCAGATATTTCTGATGCAGCTGATGATGGTGGCTCTGACAGCAGGTCAGAGGGCATGAGGTCAAAGGCCAGCTCTCCATCAGATATTATTTCTAATAAAGATGGTGTTGTAAAAGGACATTCTTCAACCACAGCACAGTCGGCTCAAGCAAAAGAGTCTCATTCTCCCTATTACCATGGCTATGATCCGTATTATTCCCCAAGTTACTTGCACTCTGGACAGGTCAGCGCCCCAGCAGCTGGGAACAGCAGTACCCCACAGACACTGAAGATCAAAAAAGAGGCTGAGGAAGAGGCTGAAAAGAAAGAGAAGGCAGAAGCATCAGATGTCAAGAAAAGTGAAAACACTTCCTCTAATTTGCAGCCACCACAACATCAGTCAGTAATAACGCAAAGGCACCCTGCACTTGCTCAGTCACTTTATTATGGACAGTATGCCTATGGGCTCTATATGGACCAAAAGTCCTTAATGGCCTCTAACCCTGCTTACAGGCAGCAGTATGAAAAATACTATGAGGACCAGAGACTAGCAGAACAGAAAATGGCACAAACTGGGAGGGACTGTGAAAGGAAAAATGACCCCCCCTTGAAGGAGATTGGGAAGGATGACAACAAGCAGAAGAATATTCCATCTGCCACTATTTCAAAGGCCCCTTCAACTCCGGAGTCCAGCAAAAACAACACTAAAATAGGGTCATCAGTTCCTAACAAAGGTGAGGAGATAAGCAAGTCACAGATCCTTTCCAATCACCAGCAGCAGCTTCAGTCGGAGAGTTTCAAAGCAAAACAAATGGAAAACCACCAGCTTATAAAGGAGGCGGTGGAGATGAAATCTGTTATGGACTCCATGAAGCAAACAGGAGTAGATCCAACCACAAGATTTAAACAGGTGAGATCACAGGAAATGAAACAAGAGAGTCTTGTTTTATCTTTAAGTCATGTGAGATTTTCTCCTTGGTTCTGATCGGTTCTTCTACCTCTGCAGCCAAACAAGCTCCACCATCCTTTTTTTACACTGGATAGTATTGTAGTCTGTAAATAGACTAATAGACCTTCTAGTTGAGCTATTTGAAAAGAATAAAAAAATAAATTAAAAATTCTAGTAAGGTGGTGACAGAAGCTATGCTTAAGACCTGAATAGACTATTTTAAATTATATGCATGAATAAAATAGAATTAGATTTCTCTTTTAGATGTAAATTCTAAGCATTTTGCTTAGTTGAGAAATGAGAAATTTCAAGAAAAATAAGCAGCTTTCATTGTGAGAGGACTTAAAGTAGATTTGAAACATGGTTTGAAGTGTTTCTTTTTTTTGTTAAAAGACAGTTGGCATTTACTAAAGATGGGTGAGCTGGTTCTTTGAAGAGTTGACTTGAAGCATAGCTCTTTATCTTAACCCATGGTGACCTTTTTGAAGCAGTTAAGTTCCCCTTCTCTCCTCAACCAACCTCAAGCCCCTACAGACCTACACAATGGATGAAATCCTCTCTCCACTGAAGTCAGTGATAGTTTTGCCATTGACTTCAGTGGAACCAGAATTTTATCCAGTGGCTTCCTGCTGACCTTCCTAGATGTCTTCATTTGAGGCAATGTGACTGTCTCTGTGCATTGAACTGGAGCCTCAATGCTTGATGCTTTCATGTTCTGGTGTATGGTACATCGCAAACTTCACCCTTACGGACTGTCTTTCAAGATACAGTGAGGTCAGGGGAGTGGGAGTTAGCCCTAGGCAGGAGAAGATTTCTGCTGATTCAAATGAGTATTTGAACCAGACTGTCCAAACCTCTAGTTGTGTGCTTATATTTTTGTGGCATGTGCCATAAATATCTGTCAATTGGAGAAAATGTTTACGGTTAGCTGTTGCATTTTCTGTGTTAGAAAAAGAAGTTTTCCTGTTACTTCTTGGTACTGATTTGGTGTGATGTTTTAAAGAAATCACGTACCTATGATATGTTTATAAGCTGGTGTAATATAATGTGTAAAAAGGTATTTACAGTGCCCAGTACATGCTCTTTAAACCATGTGGTCCTAATCCTATAATTTGTAATTACCTATCTATAATCCTATAATTACCCATGTGTAATTTTACAAACTTGAAATAGGACTGTCAGCTGAAGAAGTCTGCCTTAATGTCTGACTTCTGCTGATTCCCAAATGGGAGGCAGCATCTTTTCAGCTAGATCAGTTTTTCATGTGCATTGTTCCAGGTATTCTAAGTGCTCTAGCATATCATTAGCCAGTTTTAATTTTAATTTTGTGGTTCACAGATATTTTTTGCTCTCTAGTGGGAAAATCTCTCTGTGGGCTTTAATTAAAATGTTTTATGAATAGCATGGTCTCAGAACTTTGTTACAATGCATATGTATTTCATGATTAAACTAGTTAAAGGCATGAAGAAGGATATAAGATGAAGCAATTGAATTAAATTTTGATAATAGTCTCTTGCTCCTTCATGGGAATATTGGTTTGACTTTGAGCTCAAGGCACTCTGTAGCAAGAAAACCTCTCTCTTCTGTAATGTGGATATGGTATTAAAACAGCTATTAAAAATACAATAACTGAAGTATGGGAAATATCAATAATGAACTTATTTCAACATCTAAGTTCAGAAAAATTTTTTTCTCCTCTGTATTAGGATCCAGATTCACGAACATGGCATCATTATGTCTATCAGCCCAAATATCTTGATCAGCAAAAATCAGAAGAACTTGACCGTGAGAAAAAGTTAAAAGAAGACAGCCCTAGAAAAACACCTAACAAGGAAAGTTCCCTGCCTAACCTTCCTGTCTCATTAGCAAGCATTAAAGAGGAGCCTAAAGAGGTCAAGCGTTCTGATTCTCAATCAGTGGATGAGAACAAGATAAAAAATGATGATCAAAAGACTCCTGTAAATTGGAAGGACTCTCGGGGTGCTAGAGTAGCAGTTTCCTCACCAATGAGTC